TTGTTGCCAGGATACTCAAGGGCAGATACCTTCAGCCCCTCTGCTCTTCGCAGACAGGGTGGTGGGGCTGGGAGGGCACAGCCCCAGCTACTAGCCCAGGATTTGTTCTTTGGTTACTAGATTGAGAACCAGAGTGACCAATAATCTATTCCATGACATACATGTCATGCCCAGTATAGAAGTGAGGACCCTTCCGGAGGATCGGCCCTTTTCCTTTTGGTTCTGGGGCCCTTTCGGTTTTGGTCTCTTCTGGCTCTGGATCGCTCTCCCAAGGCCTTCCAACCGCCCTCACGCCCCAGCCAGCTCTCGGTCTGGGACGCTCGGACTGTTATCTCTGTTCCATGAGTTTCGGGACTCTCCCTTCTCCAGGATCGTTAGCTGTGGACAGGGGACAGTATCACTGTGTATCACTCATTTGTATATTTGTATATAGTATTATTTTCAATATTATTGTAGTTTAGTTATTAAATTGTTCTTATCTCAGCCCACGAGTCCTTTTTTCACTTTACCCCTTTAATTCTCTCCCCTGTCCTTGGGTGGGGGGGGGAATTGGGTGAATGGGTGTGTGGTTTGGCCCCCAGCCGAGGGCAAACCCATTACACGTGTCCATGTTGGCTTGATGGGGAATGTCAAACTAAGGGTGTGTTTCCACACTTGTCTGAAGCAAGTGCGACTCCACACTGCTGCCAGGAAGAGGCTCTCACTTTCACTGATTTTCTGCTTTGGACGTGTTGCCAAATTGTGGGGCTGCACAGTTAGCAAGATGAGGATCTTCTTTAAAGATCCTGTTCTATGTTCAGATTGTTTGGCTCAGTTCAGACCAGCATGCTGATCTTGCTGTGCCACTCCATTCCCTAGGGGCATTTCAAATATTTGTGTGCCTGCCTTTTTCCTTAAAGTATCCTTTCATCCTGAAAAACAAACATGGCTTAAACAGCTGTGTCACAGAGGCACTTAAAATACATGTTAGGAGAGGGAGAAAAGACACTCCTCTGGGTACCATAGGTTGCCTGGCTATCAGGAGTGTAAGCTATAGTTCAGTATGTGCTTTATAGACAAATGGAAAACTCTTTGTTTTAATGTGTGTGTACTGCCTTCATGTCCAAAACGTGAATTGCAATATTTTGTGTAGTTTTTGTGAAATTAGAGAAAATAGCAGTGAAATGTATGTAAGAATTTCTAGGCACCAGAATCTGTGTAAACATTATGTTAATTCAGAAATGACAAGCAAATTGAAACCCAATAGTTATGATTTCTCAACATATGTTTAATCACAGTGGGCTAATTCCAGACAATCATATCTGAAACTACTAGCTTGTCTTTCAGAGAAGTTAGTGCTTGCTGTTATGTTCACTGGTCAGGGCTTTTTCTCATTGTTCGTTGTGCTAGGTTCAAATTGTGATGAGCTGACTGGTATTTAAAAAAACCCAGAACCCCTCCCTGGCCACCCCCCAAAAAAACCAAACCGAAAACCAACCAAAAACTCATTATTAGTTTATATAAATTTAAGTTTTTCAGACATTGGCAATACAGTCAACAGGGCTTATAAAGCAGATTTTAGCATAAAGAGCACAAGTAACTTCTGCTGCAAACTCAACTGTAGACTGTCCATAATGTGTTTAAAATACTGGTGGACAGCTATAAACAGATAGTCAGTGATAAGTGTTGACCTTGCTGTTCAGAGCGTCTCCACATCTATTTAATGTTTTGCTTTCCCTAGCACATGTTGCCATGAATTACCTCTGTTCTGACTGTATCAGACTTTTAGGGTGCTCTGAAGGCCTGTGTGTTCTGGGACTTAGAATACAACAAAGTTAGACTACCTTAAGAGGCTGGGAGACAGATTGGTTTTGGTGAATATACTCGTAGTATAAAGCCAGAGAAGCGCAGTGTTCCAGTTCAGCTCGTACTACAGTCAGTTCCTGGTAAAGGCAGGTCTTTTCTTGCTAAATATGTAAGAGTTCATAGAAATATGCTTTCTTCTCAGACTTTATTGAATGCTTTAACTAGCACATAAAGAAATTCAATGTCAGGGTTTAATTTTGGCCAACAAAAATATATTTCTAAAGGGAAGAAGACATTTAGATTATATTGGCATTTAGATTATATTGGGGTTAATTGTCTTTGATTCTAGATGAGGCTATGGAGCATCATGAATCGATGTTTAAACTGTAGCATCTCATTGCAGCTTTAATTGTTGAGTACCCATTACTTGTGAGTGCTAGTGAGCAGTGGCGTATTGAACACATTCTCATCCCTGCAATCACAGCAGTTTGCTCAGTTTTCATCTGAGCATTGTTATGAATTGGACTCGGTACTAGCCAGCTTGCACCAAAGCTGCTGCCCTGACAAGTTGCATGCTGAGACACGTTCATACACTTGGGCTGCAGTAGAAGTGCTTTGCTGCTTGTTTGCACATCTCCTGCCCAGGTGCACCACTTGTAGGTTGTCCTTAGTTCTCTAAATTTGCAGTTTTACATCCCGGTGTCATGGGGACAAAGACCAGGCAGTTGACTGTGACCATTCTGATCAGTTGAGAGATATGTTTCCAGTTATCACAGCTGCTGCTCATCAGTTAGCATTGTGTTAGATGCTGTACAAACACAGGACGAATAAGAAATTTCTTGTTTCAAAGTAATTTAAATGCTAGAGGATGAATGAGAATGAAAGATGACTGCCACAAACAGGATAGCACTGGTGGGGGTGGGGGTGGGGTTTGGGGCTTCTTTGTTGTCATACAACAAAGGTACATTTAAAGCAGGATAATAGGTAGTTTCTGTAATTATGAGGGAGAAGAAAACAAAAACACTGGCTACAGAGGCTGGATGTAAAGGCAAGGATCATAATTTCTCTTATAAATGAGAGGAGTGGGTGTTGACAATGACTTCTGTATACCTGCAGGAAAGCAGTTTGATGATAGGGAAGAGAGGAACTGCCTGGTTTGTGATTTTTGTGTTAGCATTCTGAGTGGGTTTGAGAGTGGTTAAATTCCAGGCATCAAAACAAGGCAGCAGATATTAGAGAAATTTAAACAGTGATACAGCTGGAGCTGAAAGAAATTTTGTCAGAGTAGCACATAGAAAAGTCTGTATGTTAAATAAGTGGAAAAAGCTGTGGGATTTAGATGTTGTCTGGAAGTACAGATCTAGACAGATCCCAATCAGCTGACAAAAATGCTTTCTATCCACTGCATTTTCCCCTTTACTGTAGAGTCTGCGATAAATCAAATAATGGTGTATTAAAGCTGCTTTATCAGGAGTCTCTGTATAGAGTTTACGGTAAAGGCAGGAAGAGTTCAAGCTACTGTATTTATATATTATCTGGGTATTGAATCAATAACCTGCCTTAACTCATGCTCTTTTTGTTTTTTTTCCAGATTTTCTATTTTGTACATAACGTTGTTTTGTATATACTGTATATGATGACTTCGGTGGGCAGTGAACGTACCCGGGGCACTCGGGACAAAACACAGATTTCAACCACACAGCCAACACAACCACAGAAACAAGTAGTACAGGTATGTGATACTATGTAATCTTCTTTGAGGTGAAAGTGAGTATGTAATGATACGCATTTCTTCCCTAAGTCAGTAAAAACTGAGAAAAGACAGGAGGAAAAGTCATGGTGTGTTTTGGAAGAGTATGTTTGATGACTCTCTTTAATTGCTTGGTAATCCAGCACAGCATTAAGTTATTCCTGTATTTTTTTCTCTAAAGGAGCTTTGTGTTCTTCATCAACATTTCCCATCAGTGAGGAATTCTATGCCTGTGCCTGTGTCAGGATTTCTGTCCTGTGACCTCAGTATCCTCATCTCTCAGCTCTTCCATATGCCAGCCTCCTGTTGCCAGAAGATCTCTGATCAATAGAGGAATTTGGGTGGGTGGGAAAAGCTTTGTTAGATGCATGCTGTGTTCTACAGCATGATTAGGCATATCTGCCAGTCACAAAACCTAAACTCCTTGTGCAGTGTCCTCACAAAGTGAAATGAAGATGGTTGTCCACTAGTGGACTAAAATTATTTTGACTATTTGTGAGATTGAAATTAAGCTCTTACCCCAATGTCTTCATTCTCAGCAGCAGTGTAGTGAAGTTGTGTGCTTGTCTGGGTTACCGAGAGTGCAAAATATCTCTGCTCCTGGCAACTCATTATTCTCTTGTCAGGTACTTTGCAAAATTGGGCTCAATTCAAGAATTGCCTCAGTTCTCTGCTGGCAGAGAGCGTATCAGTCTAGAGGTCCTCCACTGGGTCTTTTATTTTTTTTCTAGACTGATCTTTAACATGGAGGGGCTCTTGTTCTGTTTTGTGCAGTATTAATTATGTAAGCTGAAGCCCTTACCTCCTTGTGTTGCAATGCGTTGCACGGTAGTGATTCATGCTAATGTGTGAGTTTAGAAAGTGACTTTCAACAGATGAAGTTGAATTTTTTTGTTTATAACAAGTAATGTTGCAGGTTTGTAGCGAGCAGGTTGGCAGAAGTGGTGGTTTCCCCTTTTTTGATGTTTGCAAGACAGCAATGAAGTACTCTGCCCAGTTTTGAGTTCCCTGGCACAAGACGGACATTGGCAGATGTGAGCAGGTCCGTTGAAGAGCTGTGAAGATGGTTGAGAGGCTGGAGCGCAGGATGAATGAGGGGTGGCTGAGGGAGCTGGACTTGTTTAGCCTAAGAAGGCAACGGAAGGCCTTATCTTCTATTCAGATACCACATGAAAGAGTATAGAAAAGGTGAAGCCAGACTCTTCTCAGAGAGACAATGGCACAAGTTGGAACACTGGAAATTACAGCTATTAAAAGGAAAAAAAATGTTCACCGTGGACATGGTCATGAGTTAGAGGGTTTGTGGGATCTCTCTGTGGCCCCGAGCAACTCTTCTGATGGGATGTGCCCTCAGTGGGAAGTTGCACTGAGTGTTGCTGGAGTACCTTACCAACCTAGGTGTCTTACAGACCTCTTTCTGCATATTGTCCGCTTGTTCTACTTCTTGCATAATAGGTACTGGTATGGTCAATTGAGTGGAAAAGGTGGTTATTAAATATACAGCAGTTACATTTTAGTACATCATGTTTTTTATTGCTTGGATAAAAGATGGACCTTCCTGCTTAGTCAGGCTTTACAGATCAACAGAAATATGTGGGATTTTACTATTTAATCACCATTGTTTCATTTTTCTGAATGTAAAATAATGTTGCTTTCCCAAATGGAGATTTCATTGTCATAATATCACATTGATCATGGTTTAAATTATTTAAGAAATTACATCACAGTTCTTTTGCATTGCTTCTGGATAGTAAATATACCATTTTTTAAATAAGATATTACTGTCACTTAATTTTGTATTCTGCACGCTTCTGTTTTCTGTTAGTTTGAAGCTGTTAGTTAAAAATTTCCTTCACTCTATTATGCTGCAAAGATAATATATCTTGTTAGGTTGAGTAAAGTTTTAGCTGTCTTAAGATGCTACTGTTTTCTTAGTCACAATTAAATGTTAATTATACTCTCATAGGATACTACAATGTTACTTGTAATGGTGGTACCTTAAGAACTACTCACTGGTAAAAAAAAAACCCAAAACATTTTTGGCAATGATTTGGTGTTTGTGTGGTAAACACATGTGGTTGTTTGTTGTCTTTTCTTCAGAATCTTCAATTTCATCTTAGTGTAATTAACTGGCATAAATATTAGCGATATTGTACCTACTTGTGTTTCTAAGCCCTGCCCTTAGACAGGGAAAGTGAAGATACTGTCACACATTTGATGTTGTTGTAAAATTGGTATATTTTTGTCTCACAATGTGAACTTGCAAAAAAGCTGGTTTACAGAAAAAATGAATCTTAATGGCTTCCTGTTTCTGGTTAAATATGCAGTCATGTCTCTACAGAAATTACATTGTCTGAATGTTTTTACTCTAGATATCTTTAAAGGAAATCTCTTCACTAGCGTAGAAGTTGCAGTGGGCCTGAGGACACTGAAATGAGATCAAGAAGATGTATCGACAAGGCCTGATTCCTGAAACAAGCAGACCTTTTGTTTTTTCTCTCTGCTGAGCTGTCAGGAGACACCAAGAGCTAGTTCAGTCGCAGAGTACCACACTGACTGGGAGGCTTTCGTGGAGGGTGGCACCAGGGCTGGCACAGGGAATTCCAGAGTAGTCTCTCCTCTGTGTTACCAACTGACTTATGAAGCTGTCAGCATGACACTTTGAAAATGTGGAGTAGCACAGAGTACGTAACTCCGTTACAAATGCTGATTGTCTTGGAACATTGCCTCTGAGTGCAGCAAATGTCTCTTCCCTCAAGGAACTGGGACAGCTGCAGTAACTTCTCAGAAAATAAGCAGCTGGTGTTGTACGGTGGAGTAATTCTTAGACTGTTCTCTGCATTTACACTTGGTGACCTCCTCTAGAGCTTGTATGTATGGTAAACTCCAAAAGCAAAGCAGTTTGAGGCTGATTAAGTCTGAACTTGTGAGACACAGAATTTCATGTGCAAGTGAAGTGAGACTTTGAAAGCTGAGTTTCAACCAGCTGCCCAGGATGAATTCTTTCTATCAAGAATTTCAGCGGATGAGCTGGTCCCCTTCGTAATGAAGAATTCTTCTACAGCACATCAATTTGCATTTTGGGTCCTGTCTCTTCAGTATCAGCCTTCTCTAGCATGCGATGCAAGCCTCTTCTGTTTCAGCAGAAATCAAATTAGGTCCAGGTTCATGTAGAACAGAGTTATCTTTGGTAGTTCCATGGGAGTGCTGTTCAAGTAGACTGGAAATGCTGCACTTTTATAAAGAGTGGCCTGTGTGATGCAACATTGAATTGCTTTTCCTGGGGCAGCCCATAGTCTGTTCGGATTTATCGCGCTTTACTGCATCTGTTCTTTTTAGTCCTTCAGCTTTTGGAGAAGTTGCCAGCATGGATTTGTGGTCCAGAAACATTACAGAAGCACCAAATATTTTGTCAATAGCAAGATTCTTTAGTAGTTTTCAGAGACCAGTATTTCATTATAAAGAAAACAAGTGCAGCTGTTCACGGGCAAAATCTTGAGGCATGACTCAGTCTCTTTTTAAGTGCTCATAAAACTGGAGTCGAGCAGGAATCATTAGAGATGTGGTTAATTTAGAAATACAATTGCCAGTTTGTTACGATAACACTATAACTCTGGAGTAGTAGATACTAAATAAAAGTAAAAGTAATAATATCAAAGCATAGGCTTCTGTGGTAAATTCCATTTTATTGTATGGTTGTCTTGTCTATGTGGTGACCTTAACTGTGGTTCAAACACATTAGAACGTGTTGAAACTGCTTCTATCTCAGATAACTTTTTAACTGTAAGAGAGACATTGAGGAGATGTTAATCTTTTCCCCACAGCACTGCTGTGCTTGTTGTGTATATTGTTTTTGAGAATCTGGAGAAAAAACATTAGTGATGCTAGGAGATACTTTTGAAAAGTATATTGTTACCTTTTGTGTACTTTATTGGATGTTTCCGTTTTTCAGGCAACAGCAGAACAGATTCGCCTTGCTCAGATGATCTACGATAAGAATGATGCAGATTTTGAAGATAAAGTGAAACAAGTATGTTTCTTATGGTATAGAGTTTTTATGCCCTGCAGTAAGGTGCTCCAAAGCTGGCTTACGTTTCGGAGCCAGAGCGTCTGTTTCTGATTTAGATGAAACCTTTTCCAGAAGGATGTAAGTTTAACTGGGAAAACGTGCTCTTATTGCACTGTAATGTCTGTTTACAAGAAATTGTGTAGTAATATAGCTCTGGCTGTATAGTTACGCTGGTGTGTTTTCCTTTGTAGACAAGCCTTTAAGCTAAAGGTCGTCTGTGCTGATGTCTCTTCCAGACTGTATCTCTCTAGTATGGTGCTGATGCTTAATGTATTGTCAGAATAAAGAGTGCATTGAGCTTGTCCACATGTACATGCATATGGGGAAAATGTGTCACCTGTGTAAACTGAGTTCCCTAGTATCTTGGCTGTTTTTCAGGAAAAGTAAAAATGTAATCATAGCTTAAAGCTAAATTGAAGTGTTATTAAAAAAAAAAATAAAAATCTGACTGGTCAGATCTGTGTATGCATTAAAATGATAGACTTACACTGTGAAAATGAAATCTCACACCATTTCCTCTACCATGCTGAGTTTTGGTTGCAGATACTTGAGCTTCCATAGCCAGTTACAGCTGAGACCATTAATTTGAGCAGTACTGAGAATCCAGGTCCCTGTTCTGCTGTGGGTGTCTGTGATTTTTGTCCTAGTGAACACGTGACAACTCATGAAGAATCTAGGAGTACACCCAGAAGGAGTGTGAATGCATTAATGCAGCAGAGGAGCAAATTCCTTGATTTCTTTTGTAAAACTTCCTCTGAAGCATTATTGGGTGCTTTTTTTTGTTCTTGTCGTAAACTTGTTCTGTGCTGTGCCAGAAGTGAAGCCTTGTACTTCCTGAAACCTGAGGACCATCATAATAGTGCCTGTAGTTCTGCTGCAGTAGGAAGGATAAGAATTAAGTTTTGCATAGGGAATCTCCAATATTTTACATTGTGCATATGTATTTCTAGCTCATATAGTTTTTTTCTTTGGGTGGAGTTGCTGGATGTGTCCCATGACAGACTGTTTCCATCCCACACTTCTCAGGAGATGCACCGCAGGCTCACGGAGCATAATTCAGTACCACATCTCCTTTAAGCAGCCATTGCTTATGCCTTTTGTGTGGCCTTATGCTGAAATGGATTGAGGGAGCTGATCAGTCTGAAAAATAACCTTTTTCGTAGTCTGGATATTTTTTCAGATGGATCTATTCTTTGCCATGGCGTACTTTATGTCTGTTTTCACACAGTGGGATGAAGAGGGGGATGTTTGGTGGGGAGGGAGAGAGGACAGTACTGGAGCTATCCTGGTCTTTGACATCTTTACCCTCGTATATTGCTGTTTCTGGGTTGATAGGATTTGCTGCAAGTGTACAGGAAAAAAAAGGTGTGAGAGAGTGCTTTCTTGATTACCATTTAATTTGTGTTTCATCCTGTCTCTTGTCTGAATCCCAAGCATCTCTGTAAACACAGATACTTTGATTTAGTATTTTAGTTTGCTCTGACACAGTAGCTATGCATTTGCTTGGAATCTGTGGTGCTACTAACTTTTATTTTCTTATGGTGATAATTAGATATCTTAACATGTCTGACTTTTACTGCCAGCTCATGGAAGTAACGGGGAAAAACCAGGATGAGTGCATAGTGGCACTACATGATTGTAATGGGGATGTGAACAGAGCAATCAACATACTGCTGGAAGGAAGTTCAGACACGGTAAGGTTTTACTTTCATATTAAACCACTCTTTGCTGAATCTTTGTACTTCTAAGAAGTGATTGGGAAAGTCATATTTTGGAACCTATCAATTTCCATGTCTCCATTCAAATTATTTTGAAGGAAATGGAGACTGGGGCAGCTTACGTACCTTCAAGTAGGCTGAATCTTGAAAATGTTGTGGGTGTTCGGCTGGTCTCTTGCAGAGTCCTCTGGCTTTCATTTACATGCAACAATTTTTACTCTGTGGCAGAACTTGGTACTCTTTCAGACACAGGCCTGGTTTTTGCTGCAATGTTTGTAGTTACTCTGCAGCACCTCCACATCCCTGCGACCTGAGTATAAGTGTTTACCATGAACCACAATCTTTATAAAGCTACAGAGTAGGCAGATACTAAGTCATGCAGCTTTGGTAGGTGTGCATTGCCAGTATTGAAGTTGGAGGAGATTTCTGTATCTGAATGTTACATTAACAATGCTACTAGTTGCAGAAAAGGATACACCAAGCAGTTGCTCCTTTCACTGTGTTGCTTATTTGCATTACTTTATCGAAAACCAGAAGGAAACTAAACAATCTGTATATAACAACAAGTAATGCCATTTATAATGTTGCACAGAGCAATTTTTAATCCCAAGATATATCAGGAAAATACATCTTACTGTGATTGAAGTTTTTACTGGAGGGACTTCTTACAGTTTATCTGAGGCAGTAAACTAGATTCCATCTCATCTAAATTGGGAAAGAAACATGGATTTCCTTTTTTAATGCTGAACATACAGTGTTTCCTGTGATTTGTCAGGATGTGTCCTCTGGCTTGTTGTTAATGAGGAAACTCAGTCCTCCACACACCCTATATCTAGGACACATACCGTTCTGACTGAGGGGACTTTCTTTTATATCCCTTTTTCATTTGTAAGAGTTGAGGTAATCTGAAACACAGAATTATACTGAGTGATCTGACAAGCTGGGAGTAGAAGAGGGTGTCTCACTTCACTTAAATCTGTTTTGATAATATGCTGGTTTCGTGTTCTCCTATACTTCTCATATTTACCCTTTTCTAGTTGAAAATGTTATTCTGGTTGACAGAGAACGTTAAATGCTTTGTTACTTCAACGAAGTGTTATGACATGGAAGAAACTTTCTGAACTCATTTATCAGTTAGAAGCAACATATCCATATGTTCTGTTCTTTTGATAAGTACATCTGAACCCACTGCTTTCTGTAGACAAAATACAACTCAGAAGCAAGTACAGAGAACTTAAAGGGCACAGGGAGGAAGGGATATTAAGTGAAGGATGTGAAGAAATCTATTCTTCTTTATAGCTTATGGGCCTCCAACTTAAAGGGTTTGTTGCCATTGTACTCCAGAACAATTTAGCTGTGGATTTAAGGTAAAGTTGGAAGCAGAGGTACTACTAGTTCTGAACGCAGATTCCCAAACCTCTTTTTCTAGTTTTGCTCTGCTTTGATTCATTAGAAGGTTTTATTTACCTCATTTGGAAGAAGATCTGTTTATCCAGTTTGAGGAATTGGAAGAGCAAGGAGTGACAGCTAGAATGTCTATTTATAATTTCTTTGTTACTCTACCAGTTTTGGTTTTCTTTCTTTTTTTTAGTGCTGTGATCTTTAGAGGCTTTATGCTGTGTGACTTAGTCATTATGAAGACCTTTCACTTGCAACAGTTGTGACGGCCTGACTTTGGACAGATAGAGGCTTATGGATGAGAGTAGACAAGGACATGCTTCTTTGCCTGAGACTTCTGTTAACTTCCTACAAGCATAAGATCCATTTTGTGCCCAACCGTATTTTACTTCCTAAACCTTTGAAGATAGAACAAAGGAAACTTTTCAAATTATTCTTCTTTCCGTCTAAGATTAGGCCAGCAAGAAGGTCTGTATTTTTGAAGGTTAGGCCTGCAACTGTCATTTGGGTTACCTCAGGCATTGTCACCTGAAATTGTTATCAGTTAGCTCCCTTACAAAAACAGGCAGCTTTGATAGTCTGTGATGGATTCCCGTGCCCAGAGGTAGCACAATCCTCTGTCTTAAAGGACATGCCCAGCTTCTCAAGGCTTTCTGCAAAATTGTATTGTGGGAAGGCATGAGTCTGATGCTTTCATAGTTGTCCTTTCACTGATCCTTCCCAAGTCATGTAAAACCTTACTAAGCAGAGGCAGCTTCCTCTTAAGCTTCTCAGGATCATCCATTTTTGGGTATTTCTTAAAATGGTCAAAGATCTTTTGGCACAATGCCCATGAGTGAAAAAGTAGTGCATTCTGAACTATATAGACTGGGTTCTTCAGTTGTCAATGTAGTTATTTTTTCTCCTGTGAAATGTCTCTAAAACTCTAGGAGTGTTTTAGTGTGTAATGCAGTTACACAGGCTAGAGCAGGTGAAGCCATATGATAGTTACTGGAGGAAACAGTAGTTCTCAGTTGCACAAATAACATGGTGTTGCCCAAAAGCGTAGTTTGTACTTCTAATCTGTGCTGTCTGCTCTTCACCTAACTTGGCTTATTTATGGTGGTGTAGTCTTCTATACTGGAAATGTAATGGAAAAGTGATTTCAGCCTTCTTTCTCACCTATATCCTGTCAAGAAATGAGAGTGTAACCATTCTCTTAGTACTTATTCTTTCAAAGGAGGCAGTGAAACATTGACTTTGTACTTGTAAACAGTTTTGTTACCTGCTTTCACAGTAGCATTAGGTTTCTCAGTTCTAGGCAGTGTAGAACAGCTGGTCCTTGCCTACCTTGTGATGGATTCTGAGTTGCTGATGCCTGAATTGAGAAGAGAGAGGACAGAACCTAAAAGTACTATATAGCCAACCTTTTTTGTTTGATGCAGGTGCTTGTCAGAGGTCATGGGCTTAGTGCTTCACAGTTGATAACATATATTTGCATATGCAAATTTTCTGTTTAAATACCTTACCTGGACAGTAAGCTTCTAGAGATGGGGACATATAAACATATCTTCCATCTTAATGGTTTGCAAATGATATCCTTTTTCTTTGCTTTGCAATTGTGGCTTAGTAGACTAACCATGCGATTGCATAACATATGAGGTGCCGTGCTATTCTTAGCAAGTGTTTTAGTAATTTTATTTTCAACACCTACAGATACTCCTATGGAGCTGGTATGATCCCTGAATTTATTTTAAAGGTGGAGTTTAATATTAAAGCTGAAGCCTGATGTCTGGACTTTGGTTCCTTGTCTTGTTTAGACATAGTTTTTCCTGTATTTTGTTGTGTGTGATGAGCTGTAGCTTTTAAGAATGGATGGTCTGTCTTATCATGGCCCCAATTTTCCCATGTTGTTATTGTGCCATTCTGTCTCTTGGTTCCTTTAGTCCTAGTACATCTGGTAATGATTTTTCTTTTTTCTTTTTTTTTTCCCCCTTAGGCCCCATACTTATTCTCATCAGTCTCTTGTTCAGTGATGCTTATAAGCATTTTTTAATTTCCTTGGGAGAAAAAGGTAGCTCTATGCATGCTCCATTGCTAGTTTTATGGAGGTAGTTGAGAGGGAAACTGTTTATTGCTTCACAGATTTTCTGTGTTGTCGTCATATCTGGGCTTCTTTGAACCAGTAGAAGTCCATTATAGCCAGAAATATTTGGGATTCTCACATACCATAAGGCAATCCAACTTCTAAAACTTGTTTCTTTCTCATCTCTTCCCAAATATACAGCCTGTGTTTCCATTTGCATCAGTTTAGTTTGCAAGATTTTACATATGTGACGTTATCCAAATACCTTTTTTTCCATGAACTAGAGGGGTATGAGGTGGAAGTATGCATTGAGAGCTGTCTCTTCTGTTTGACTTTTGTATCTAATTCTATTCTACCCAAATAGACTTCTTGGGAGACTGTAGGGGGAAAGAAGAAAAGCCTTGGAAAGGAAAGTTCAGAAAACAAGGAGAACAGAGAAAAACGAGGGGACAGAGAAGTGAGTCGTGGACGGGGAATTTCCAACAGACGGGGAAGAGGAGGCAGTCGTGGCCGAGAATGTACGTATAGGGATTAATTTTTAAAGATTCAGATACTTTTCTTGCAGCTGAAACTGGCAGAGTTGAGAGCAAATGCTTGATGGAGTAAAGTCCGTCTGAGCTGCAGCTCAGCACTGAGAGGGATCATAACTTGTTTGTGTGACAGGTTTGCATGACTTGATTTTGGGGTGGTCTGTGCTTGTTCAGAGACAATTTAAATTTCTGTCCTTTTTTGATTAATTGATCTTGTAAAAGTGACGTTCTTTATGTCAGTATTAAAGTGGAGTCTTTGTAAGAATGCGTGAGAGCAAGTATGTTGCTGCACAGGTGATACACTTTTTTGTTTCTTTTAGTGAAACAATTATCCTGCTTTGACTCCATCTCCTTTTATGAGTGGGAGAACCTGAGGATGTTCTCACCTTCTCATAAGGGGAATGAAAAGACTGGGATCATTATTAATCCCTAGCATATATTACTCACATAAACCAACAAAAAGTGAGTTTCTACAGCAGAGATAATTCTTCATGAGTTGAAGCATTTAAGAATTTGCTACAGTTTATACAGGTGCAATAATACATTGTACAAAACCAAACCAATGTTTCCAGGTTAAGTAGCATCACATTAGATCACCATTGGATGCACATTGCTTTTTTCTCTGATTTTTTTTCGGCAGTATCAAAGCCGTATACATTGCCTGTAAGGGCCGTAGACAACACTGATAGATGAGCAAAGAAACTGGAATGAAAAAAATACGTTTAGCTTTTCACTTACAAGCAGGAAAAGTATTTACAATATTAGCCCTTTCTTGTAATTCATTATTGGAGTATACTCAAATATTGTGCCAGTGAAGACATTGTGAATCTTTGTAGAATAGAGTAACATCAGGATAGGAAAAAATATTAATAAAACTTGCAGTTATGCTTAGTACAAATTGAAATCGGATCCATGAAAATCAAAGTGAGGGGCAAAATTTTTGCCAGAGACAGATGCTGCTTGTCTCTTTCTGTGAACTGGAATTTAAGATTTTTCAGATGGTTACTGAACCTTGATATTCTCTTCCCATCTTTATGTCCAATCATTAATGATTTTGTTGCTGCCATTAGTAGAAATTGTGCAGTACAAAATCTCAGCAGTGTTTTAAGTGGCTAATAATTTTTTTTTTCCTTCAAGGAGACACACACCTTTCAGAGTACCTCCTCAGGAGTTTTCCACAAAGTAGTTAAGTTGCAGTGCTTTTCTAATGACCTTCACCTGGTCATCATCTCTCTTATTTGAATGCAGAGGAGAGTTCTTTTAAGTTTCCCTGGTTGTACAGGGATGTGGTATGGGCAGACAGGAGAAGAGCTGGTGTTCTTTGTTAGCCCTTATTCTTTCACTGTTGCCACCCAGGGCCTTATCAAGGAAGCACAGTATGAGTCAGCTGTATTTCCCACCTCGTAAAGGCCATAATTAATTTCAGAGTGTAGGCTGCATAACACTGCACTTTCTTTTCAAAAAAATGGAAGTGTGTCTGCTAAGGGACATTTCTCTCTTATTAGATATTTTGCTTCCTGATTGTCCAGTGCAAAGTAAACATAACTTGCTTGTAGCTAGTCTCTGGAAGAAGAGAGGTGACAAAGATCTGTTGACCAGCCCATTTTAAAGTCTTGGCTTTTTTTTGGTGTTCAGGTTAATCAGATGGCTATGTTGTCTCGTGTGAATCTCTAAAGCTTCTCTTAAGCTTTCCTCTCTCCACAGTTAGAGCTGAAGAGAATGGAGTGGACAACAATCAAGGAGACAGGCCTTCAGGCCGTGGGAAACGTGGTCGTGGGAGAGGTGAGATGGTGGCATTGGCGTGGGACAGGCAATGATTTCGTGTCCTGAAATCGAACTCTCCTATTTATTTCTTTAAACTCTCATTTTTAAGCATTTGTTGGTTGTCTTTTCATTCCATAAGCACTTCAGCCACCTTTCATTTAGGTACATCCCCCTCCCTTACCCCTTATTGTGTGTTGGTCCCAGAACAACTTAAAAGAATTCACACAAATCACCTTTATGGTAATTTCCTGTGCGGCAGGCTGGTGTGCTCTGGCTATGGGAGCTGTTTTCACAGATTGACTTGTGCTAACCTCCTGTGAGTGGCAGTGCACTGGGCTCCTCAGGATGTACCTTGGCAGCAGGAGAGTACAAGATTCCATCTGTAGGGCTCTTGGGGAGGGATTGGTCCTTCTGCCAGTTCTTTGGGCTGGATACGGTTGTCAGGCTTGCCGTCTGGTTATGGTGTGCAATCAGAGGAAGTGCAAGCCACTTTAAATGCTTTTTGGGAAGAGAAGGAATTTGGTATGGAAGAGTTGATGAGGAGCACTGTGGAAAAGAATACTGTGGAGTCTTAGGTACAACTCTGATCCTATCCTGTAGAAAAGGTAGGAAAGATGTTGATAATGGATTTGATGTGGAATCAAGGGATGTGTAGTTGCTTTGAATTTTCACGGGTTGGAGTGGAAAGAGGCTTGTGTTTTCTTACAGCAGGAAGAATGAAAATGAGTAACATAGGTACAGCACAGATTGTGTGGGGAAGTGGGTATTAAATGAGTTAAATTGATGAAGTGAACAGCAGAGCTAACAGACTTAAAAAGCAATGTCTGACTCGTGAGAAATTCAAAGGACTTTTCTCGTTGGAATGTCCAGTAACGAGGCATTCAAAACTAGACACATCAACTTCATTGTCTCTAGATCTGCATTTTGAAGGAGTGGAAAGATGGAAAGACATGTATCTTCCAGAGGGTTGTGTGAGTGACTTCGTGTGCCTGTGAATCAGCAAATATCAAATGGTGTGTGCAGAGATGTACCTTTGCAGGGAAGGGTGTGTTGTAGTTCATAGATAGTTTTTGGTATGTTAACACTGTTAATAGATGGAATGTAGGTTTTTCAGTATTTGTTTTATAAAATAATCCTTTGTACTCAAATATAAAGGTAGGATTTTTTTTAGATTGTTGAGTGAAACTTAAAGGCTTGTTTCAAATACAGTCTATTTTTTGCTTTGTAACCTGCTGAACATTATGCTACTTTTGTTGGTAATGCTGTAGCTCTCTAGATGAATATCATATGTCTCAAGCCAAAGCACTTTATCATCAGATCATACTGGCGTATCTGACTGAAGAAACAGGAATAAATTTAACAAATTTATGTTCACTGACTTAATATACGTAGTGTTACTGTAACTCTCTAGCAAATACTTTAGACAGTATATTCGTGTGAACAGAGTATCTTAATGAAGTGTTCTCAACTGTCTGTGATAAACCCGTTGAATGACTTCAGGATCATTATATTACAAACGTGTGTATTCTGTGGCAGGAAATACCTAATTGAATTTTCTAGCCCTTGAAATCTGCAGGGAGTTGTATAAAGCTGTGTAATTTACTTCTCAGTATTTTAGGGATGCATGACGTTCTTTCTTTGAATATTAGTAGAAATAATTATAAAAAGCTTTCTGCCATTTCATTCAGTAGTCTCTCTTTTCTGTTACACATAATAGTCAAATGTGGGATAAAGTGCTTCAGCTGAAAGTGTATAGATTGCTGGTAATCACCACAGAACCATTTTTGGAACTGTTTTGTGCAGAGTGTGTGTGTAGGAATCTAGGCCTTGAATACAAAATCGGGGGTCAGCTGATACCTGAGCAATGCACTATCTCCCTGTTTTAAGCTACCTTCTCAGGCTGGAGTTATCTTACTGGCTGCTTTCTAGGGGAAGGTTTGTTGGGCCATCATATTACTGCTTCACTGTAGAACAACCTAATTTTGAGAAATTATATGCACTGACAATAGCAGAAATGGGATTGACACAGGGAAGATAATGTGCTGTTTACTGAAGGGGAATATAGTAAGGCTCTGTAAAATTTTTGCAGAGAAAGTACTGTGGAGAAATCTGTTGGTCACTCCAAGCAAGTATGTAAATGAGGGGAATATTAAGTAAAATCAGTACGTTCGTTACAGGTTCAAAATGAACTTACAGACTTGGTTCTTCATGCATGTAGTTAGCCTGAGAAATTCCTTTCAATAGGATGATGTGGGTGCTGAAAATTTGCAGACTTGACAATTTAATCCTAAAAAAGAAGCACAGCAAGAAAAGGAAAAAAACACTGAGAGTTTTGATATATGTACATTATCTTTGGCTGAAGAAGTCTGAGCCACAAATGGTTGAAGACCAGGAGAGTGTCTACAGAAACTGCACTGTGGTTTCAGTTCTTTCACTCTTCCGTAGATATCTAATTGACCGTAGCTGATAACGGGATAGGAGGTAGATGAACTTTTGAACTTGATTCAGTATAGAAATTGTTACAGATTTACATGTAGCAATTCTGGTTTCGAAAGTAAAAATGCTTTTGTGACTTTTACTTTTTTTCCTCTATTCTCTTCCTCTTCGTTCTTCCAGAGCAACATGAGCATGCCATAAAAGTAGATGCTGACAGGGATTTTATTTTTTTTTAATAGAAAAACAGGAATTAAAATGAAAGGCAAAAATACTATGTTTTAATTTTGAACTTAAAAGAGCATGATAAGGAGTGTTTCAGACTCTTGTTTTTTCTGCAAGCTGTGTAACAAAGCAAAGCAGTTTTCCCTTTTTGTAAATATCTGACTATAGTACAGCTTGTATTCTTGATCTCTCTTTTTGCTTTTAATGTTTTTTAGATAGAAGTATGCTATCCTTGAAAAAATTGAGCTTCTGTAACCAGAATGGCATGTCTAGACATTTCCTTATTGTAAAAGTTTAGCACAGTTGGCACAGGATATATTTTGGGTTTTGTTTGCCACAATTGATAAGGATGTTGGTTTTTCTAAAACAGGAATGTAGAGCAGACCTTCTGAAGGTCACAACCTAAAGTCTGTTTAGTTTTGCTCTAGTTGCTTCTGCAAGCTGTGTGGGTCATGTAATTTTTTTTAATTTTTTTTTTGAGATTAACCAGAATTTAGCTTTAATGTGAGTTATTTATTTTCTTTCAAACATAACTTTAAAGTTGAAAATTTTCTGCACGGGCTTCTAAAAATGTTTACTAGAATACGTAAAGTATATAAAACTGATCCAGTACTTCTCACTTTATGATGTCTAATAAGACAACAGCGATTTGAATTATTAAATATAACTTCAGTGTTTGTTTTGGTAGTACAGAATACCTAGAGTACAAAATTTCTATATTTAGCCTCCATATCTTTTCATAAGGCTTAAGCTTCTGTCATCTCGGTGTTTGCTGGGAGGATGGCTGGCTTTGCATTTCCAGAGCAGATATCAGGGCTGTTCAGTCTACTGTGTAGTCAGAGATAAGCACAAATCTAGGGTGTTGCCTGCCCTTCCAGTCTGCATTTTCTTTTCCTTCAGCTGTTCTTAGGCCTATTTCTTAGCCTTAAAGTGTCTTCATCTAATTTAAACATGTCAGTGTGAAAATCTGAGTTTTGAAATAAAGCACCTCTGTTCAAGTAGAGTAATTTAGGTTTGCAAGCTCAGCAAACTGATTTTTTTACAGAACAGGCTATTAAGTTAATGGGCTAGGCCCATCCAAGTTGTGGTACTACACACTTTTCTCATTATCGTGGTTGAACCCTAGCTAGCAATAACCCCCACACAGCTGCTCGTTCACTCCCCTCATTGGGATGGGGAGAGAACTGGAATGGTAAAAGGGAGAAAACTTGTGGGTTGAGATAAACACAGTTTAATAAATAAAGCAAAAGCTGTGCATGCAGGCAAAGCAAAACAAGGAATTCATTCACTGTTTCACATCGGCAGGCAGGTAGTCAGCCATCTCTGGAAAAGCAGGGCTCCATCACACATAACGGTTACTTCACACCATCACTCTGAACATCCCCCTCCTTCCTTCTTCCTTGCCCAGCTTTATATGCTGAGCATGATGTCTTATGGTACGGTATATCCCTTTGGTTGGTTGCGATCAGCTGTCCCAGCTGTGTCCCTTCCCAACTCCTTTTGCACCCCCAGCCTGCGCGCCAGTGAGGTGGGGTGAGAAGCAGAAAAGGCCTTGACTCTGTGTAAGCACTGCTCAGCAATAACTATAACATCTCTGTGTTATCTTCGCTGTTTCCATCACAAATCCAAAACACAGCCCCATGCTAGCTACTATGAAGAAAATTAACTTTATCCCAGACAAAACCAGCACACCCACGCTCCCATGTAGTGTCCATTTGTCTTGGAGGAAGAGAAGTTGTGAATGAGATGAACAGTTCTTTCCATGCATGGATGGTACCAGAGTGAAGACTGGATTGTGTGATTATGGGTGTTTTGAACACATAATGGGTTTTAGTGGAAACTGAAAATGTTACTACCTGCCCAAGTGTAAGTGTTGACTTTTCTAGAATTCATTCCAGAAAAGAAAAATGTAAATTGAATAAGCAATGGGTAATGTAGCCTAGTCAGCTGAGGAGAATGTGCTGGAGAGCAGGAAGAAAACCCAGCAATACACAGTTGAATGGTTACAATGTTAAAGGAAGCAAATCCGTGTTTTAAATAGTTCAGCATTTTAAATTATGTTGGCTAGGTGTAGTAGTGGAATGTTGATCAGAATCAACTTTAAACATAGTTCCCCAGTCCTGGTTTCCTGGAACAGTAATGGGTAAGCAGTGTTGTCTTGATACTTCAGGCTGTTGTTTGTAGATCCGAGTGTACGGAATGTGAGGAAATATTATGAGGGTTTATATGAGGCAGGGCAGTAATTTTGTTCTTTGCCTGATGTCTGTCATTTGCTTTTGTGCTCAACATGCTGACTGATTGTAAGAAAATCTGTTCCTTTAGACTCACTAGAAGGTTTAATGAGCTACTGCCAAGTCACT